TTTTCAAAATTTCAAGTATACATTCTCATTATTAACAACTCATAAAAGTTTTTCATTTTATTTTTACTAGACTTAAATCGGTTTTTGCAAATTAGTATTGTCATAAATATTAAAAATTAATTTTAAAAAATTCACAAATAAACATTAATACAAATAATTAAGAAAAAACTAAAAACATGTTAGAGAGAGATTGCTTTTAATACATATACGAAAAACTACTTTTTTAAAACATATACAATTAAAAAAATATATATATATACTATTTTAAGACATACACTATTTTTTTAAATATATATTGATTTCAAAAGAATTCAAAATATATTTTATTTTAGTTAGAAAATATTTTATCAAGACAAAAAATTGAAATATTTTATTTTAAAATATATATTTATATTAATTACATAATAATATATTAATACATTTAAAGCAATTAATTAACAATACATCCACAAACATATTCATTCACAACTAATAATATTAATAACATTTTTACTACCAACCTACATTATCATGCATTTATATAGAAAGTTAATTTAAAAAATAAAATCAAAGTGTACATAAAGTAGAGAGTTGATATGAGACGACAAAAAAAAAATGAGAATAATTGATAAAAAATAGAAAAGAGAAATAAAATTGTTAAAGTTATAGAGATGAGAAAAAAATCGAATTGCAAGTAAGGAAGAAAGAGAAATGAGTGTTATATGTGCAAACTAGTATTTTTTTTTTGCGCACTTAAATCCCTCACAATGCCAAAAATTTGTTAGAGATTATCCCTCACAAAATTTTCACGTCGCCTTTCACGCCAACCATTTAATGAAAAGCTGCAACTTTAGGAAAACACTTTTTTTTCTCTCTCTTTTACGAGTGGCGCCCCTCACTAACGTAGACGTAACAATTTGCTTGGGGCTATCCCTCCTAAAGTATCACAATTTTTTATTTTTATTTTTTGTTTTTCCTCCTCAAGTGTTGCGAGGGGTAACCTCTCATACACTTTTTTTTTAAATTTATTTTTTGCTCTTTTGCGAGGGGTATCACCTCATTTATTTATTTATTTTCTGCTTTGCGAGGAGTTAATCTCAACAATGCCATATATTTTGTAAGGTGGTTTACCACATGCAATATTTTATTACTACAATACATGTTTCTTGCAGTGTTGATTTTATCTTAAGCCTGACATTCACAACTCTCAAAGAAGACTTTTACTTTTATTAAGGACCGCATTTGGAAAATAATCAACTCATAGAGAGGTAGATCATTGTCTAAAGAAGGGAAAAAGGTGATGGTAAAATCGGTTTTGCAATCTATATCGTCTTATATTTTAAGTGTGTTTGTTATACCAAATGCGGTGGTGAATGATATTGAGAAGATGTTGATCTCGTTCTGGTGGGGATGTGGTAGTAATAATAAAAGAATTAGATGGTTAGCCTGAGATAAGTTAACTTGTACGAAGAAGGAAGAAGGTATGAGATTCAGAGACTTCAAGTCCTTTAAATTGGCTATGGTGGCTAAACAAGGTTGGTACATGTTGAAAAAAACCCAATCTCTAGTTGCCAGAGTCTTCAAAGCAAGGTATTTTTTTAGATTATCTTTTATTGTTTCCTCTATTAGAAATAATCTTAGTTTTATGTGGAGTAGCCTTTGGAAAGCTAGGGATGTTTTATCGATTGGTTGCAAGTTGTGCATATGTGATGGAAGTCATATTAAAGTGATGAACGAACCTTGGTTAAGAAGGAAATGAGAAGGGTGTTTGGGTGGCCTTCAAGGGCAAGGAGTGTATGATTTTTATGTTAAAAACCTCATGTTAACTAATGCTAAACAATGGGATGCACAAGAAATAAATTCTTTGTTTGATCATAATATGGCTGAAGAGATCTCTAAGGTCCTAGTGGTGGAAAATGTGATAGACGATGGTCTAATTTGGTAAGAGGAACAAAATGGATTGTACAGTGTCAAGTTTGGGTATAGATTGTGGAGAAACTCCCAAACGAATTATTTGAATAGAAGGGTGAAGGGGAATTAGGGAAATCTTTGGAACATTTATGCGCCCCCTAGAGCCAAACACTTGTTATGGAGAATTTATAGGGGTTGCATACAATCTCGATCTAGACTCCGTCATCATTATGTCCAATGTCCTTTTGTTTGTCAGCTTTGCGAGATTGAAGATGAGGATTATTGGCATGTATTTTTTGGATGTACTACTATACTCCAATGTTGACAGGTAGCAGGTTTGTTTTCTATAATTGACCCCCCCCCCCCCCCCCCCCCCCCCCCCCCGTGTTAATATTTTTAATGATGTTAAATCCCTTATTCTTGATATTTGCAATAGAGGGGATATGAGGGATGTTGGTAGATTTGTTGTGATAATTAACGTGCTTTGGAAGAATAGAAATAATGTTGTTTGAAATAATGCTCGAGAGGAGGTATCGAAAATTGAATAGTGTAACATTTGAAAGCGATTTCTAACTAGTAGTTCAAGCAATTCATTCTAAGCAGTTAGGTAGGTCTGAATTCAGTCTTATCTAAAAGTTTGTTGCATCTTTTTCCGAACTTTAAGGTTAAATTCATCAAGTGCCAAACGAATTCGGTTACCCATATGTTAGTTAAGACGACCAACTCTTGAACTTGACGTAGCTTTATTAATGTGATACTTTCATGTATTAAAATTTTTTGAGTAATGAAAATTATTAAGTTTGTTTCTATAAAAAAAAAAAGAAAAAAAAAACTTAGATAAATAAAAATTTAGACCCCATTTAACATGACTTAAACATCCTTTGCATTTAACATCCATGAAAGAAGAGTTGAATAATCGAACAAAACAATTGAGCTTGTACTTTCTTTTCACCAGCTCATCAGAAGGATTTAGTAAATTAGTATCGTTTTGAAGAACCATTTTTGTACAAGATGATTTAATTATAATGACTTCCAATGCTTTCATCTATAAATGTGTTGTGCGACACATTTTAAGAATAGTTTAAAAATAATGTTTTTTTATTTATATGTGGAATATGGTTGTTTTAGATTTTGTATATATTTTCACACTGCTTACATAATTTAAACTAAATTCTCTGGATCTTATAAATAGAAAGGAAGTGATATTGCAATTTCAGAGTTTAATTTGAGATTAAAGATAGGAAAATAATTTTACCCATACAATCAATTAAAATTTTTAAATTTGTTATATCGTATTAATATTCTAAAAATAAAATTGTTAATTTGCGGGATACATGTCTATTAATTGACAGTGGTGAGAATTCCACAATTCTGTTGAAAAACTGTCAAAGAAACAACTACATCTCCCCATTCCCTTTAAATAGTTCACAAACAAAATATTATGAAGTCAAATTTCAAGAAAGCAATTTTATCTCATATAGATTTGTACGGAAAGAACCCCTTATCTAAAGTACAGTCAAGATGTAGATAATAAATGAGTAAGTTTCTACAACCATAGCTAATTAGCTAGAATTGTTTTGAAATTGTGTTTTTGTAACTGGGCTAAAATGTTTATGAAATCCTATTTATCATAACAATTTAGAGCTATGATAATAAATTAAGCCAACAGAAATAATGTTTATGAAAAGTTCTACAATGCTAAAAAACTATCGTTACTATTATTTCATATGAAACCTAAACTCTAATTAGATAGATAAGATATCAAAGATTTTGCTACACATATTCAGAAAATTTTAATTCATTTACCCAACATAGGTCTTCTTTGTTGATTATCAATAGAGATGATTATCAATAGAGATGATAGGAAAGAGAGAAATGGGCCTGTTGGGACTTTTAAAGTTATTGGGCTTTTATTTTGTAGGGCCCGGTTGAATCTGGTAAGTGCTTTCTGCATTCAAGTGTTCGGCAGATTGTGCACGACGTTAAACCTATTATAACCTTAACCGCCCGCGCCGGACCACCGTGAGCACCGCCGCTAGTGCTACCATTTTCACCGTCACTCCCTTTCGCTCCTCAATCCGCGGAAACTTCAATTCACAATAGCATCACTTTTACTTCCACTTTTTTTATTCACTTCAATTACTCCACTGTCTAATAAACTGAGGTAAAAGCGTCAAACTCAAATTCGTTTTATGTAAATACCAATATCAATTTCTTGATAAGTTTTGTTTATTTATACAGTACATAAGAGTTGATTTGTTATTAAAAGATTTGGTTAGGTTAGGTAGTTTTTTTTTCAGTGCATAGAGTTCAAATAACACATTAACAATGAAGGCATGCTTATACTGTTTCTATTATACTTATGATTGCTTATAACTTATATGCAGATAGTTGCTTCTCTTTTAAATAGTGGTTGTTAAGTTATGTTTGACATAGAGAAATTGGAGACTAATTTGGGGTTTTTGATTCCAATTTGGTACTGACATATAAGAGAAAGTATAAAGAAGGATCTTAAGATTATTATGAAGGATCTAGTGTTGTTGTAGCAGTAGCTGAACTCTAGTGCTGTAGTTACTATGATTTAGGGTTAGGGTTGATTGAACTCTTTAAGGAGGAATTTATTCAAAATTCATTCGACTATTGAAATATGAAGCAGTGACAGAAGTGTATTAGGGTTGTTGTAGGTATAATTTGCATATCCTGTGATAGGGAGTCTAATAGCTAGCTAATAAAAATTAAGACTTTTTCATTTCATTTGATGTCTTACAAGAGAGGATAATGCACTTGTTATATAAACAGATACTAACCATCCAAGTGTCTCAATCTTAAAGGTCCTAAGAACATTCTAAAAAACATAATAATATAAAATAATTCCTAATACATCATAATACTAATAAAACCCATTTAACTAATGATAAATTATTCTATTAAACTCCCTATCATCCTGAGTATTAAGGTACAACCTATGAATTTAATTTGGCTATTGTCCATTAATTTGCTGTCATTCTTGTTCAACAAAAACATTGGATGTGGGGTTTTTGGGGAGATTGTTTTGTTAAGCCCAAATCTAATAAGCTATTGGATGCTTCAATTTTCAGATAGTTGCAGTTATGTCATCAGAGAAGGAAGCTTCAAGCTCCAAAGAGAAACGCAGACTATCGTGCACTGCTCACTTTGATGCCCTCTGGTTCTGCTACTGTAATGGCCATTCACCCAAAACTTAAAAAAGTGCCTCTTTTTCAAATGGGTCATCCATCCCAGTACTGATAAAGTTTGTGTGTTTAATGTCTGCAGCCCCAGTTCATCAAATGCAGCAGTATTATAGGCTTGGTGTTCTTGATAACTGTTCTGGTAAATGGAAAGCAATGGTTGACTGCTTAATGCTCAAGACCAAACCCAGTTCTCAAGTCGAGGTTGGTTCCTATTTCTTTCTCATTAATGTGTAATTGTTATATGTTGAAAATCTTTAAATATATTGGGTTAAATATTCTTTGAACATGGTCCTATTTGCTGTATTTGATTTTGAGAGCACCTTTAGTTGTGCTTGGGAAAATTGAAGAGTATAGGTGGTTTTGCTATTTTTGTTTTCCAACTCTATTTGTATGGATATTATAGCCACAGTGCATTTTTTTATGTGGGTTTGGAGGATTTTTTACAATTCTAAAATTCTAAGGTTGAGTTAGGCCCAACCACAATTCTAAAACTATAGTTAGTCAATTTCAGAATTACATATAAATGTAATATGAATCATAATGTACAAGTAGTTGAATGGGAACATCTCTCTTCATTTTCTTCCGCCGTTCACCTTAATGCAGTGATTTGAACTTATTTTCTCTGTGAGCTGGTGCCAGTTTTTTATTCCTTTCTTGAACTTTTTTGTGTGAGCTGGTGTCAGTTTTTTATTCCTTTCTTGAACTTTTTTTTTTATAAGTATTCGTTTCAGTCCATGGCTTTGCATTCAACTGGTGATGCATTCAGTTCTACTACATTCATTCTTATATGATAAACCAAGCCTACTCTTGGTTTCTCAGCCATTGACTAGTGCAAAGTATAGCTCATGGAGTCAGGCCAGCGAAATGGCTATGTTGGCCAAAAGCAAAAATATGGCTTTGTTGATGGCTCAATTCCACAGCAGCCAAAGTAATTTGATCTTCAGTTGTATCTGCTTTGTAGATGAATAATGACCTGTTTCTTCCCTCGTTTTTAAATTCCATTGCCAAATACACCACTTCAAGTGTCATCTACTGAACACTGCAGCACAAACATGATATTTTATTTGGGCATTTTAACAACAGAATGAACCTTGGATCTTTCAACTGATTTTTTTTTAAGAGTTTCAATGAACTTTCCCACAAGTCAGCATTTTTTTGGAGAGGGAAGACTATTTGTATTATTGAGGGTTTATAATTTTGGCTTTATACAAACTCAAGTACATCACCTTTATTTATACAAGTGACATTCCTAAATCAAAGACTAGAATTTTACCACCACAAATTTAATCTAATGGCTATAAATCACTCTCTAGAATTTTCTCTACTATTTTACAAATTTTTTAACTTATCCTTATCTTCTAAAGAGCTCCATGGATCTCTCTAGAATAGACTTCTAGAAGTCGGACCTACTACACCACAAATTTTGGCTTAAAATTCATAAGGTCCAAAAGCTAACAAACCCAAAATCAATTTAAATATTCAACAACCCCCTTAACTTTGATTTTGCTACTCCAAGTAAATATCTTAACTTGACTAAGTCTCCGCGCTTGAGAGGCTTGTTGAAGATATCAACTGCATAGTCATGTGTTTTTTGCCAAAGCTATTGCTAACTTGTTGTCCATGAATATCTTGGTCGGCTCCTTTTGTGGCAAACTCAACTCCTTTAACAGGTTTCGTCACCAGATTGCATGACAAACACATGATATCTTCATCAAGTCTCTCAAGCGTGAAGACTTTGCCAAGTTAAAATATTTACTTTGAGTAGTAAAATCAAATTTACGAGGGGATGTTATATTTAAATTGATTTTGGGTTGGTTAGTTTTTGGACCTTATGAATTTTAAACTCAAACTTGTGTGGTAGTAGGTTCAATTTCTAGAAGCCTATTTTAGAGAGATCCATGGTGCTCTCTAGAAGATAAGGATAAGTTAGGAATTTTGTAGAATAGTAGAGAAAATTTTAAAGAGTGATTTATAGCCTTTAGATTAAGTTTGTGGTGGCAAAATCCTAATCGTTGATTTAGAAATGCCACTAGTATAAATAGAGGTGATGTACTTGAGTTTGTATTAAATTAAACCAAAATTATAAGCATTCAATAATTAAAATAACCTTCCCTTTTAAGAGGTTCGAAGATTCTCCCATACTTCTTTGGCTGGCATTGCTCCCGAGACTTTCTCGAACGTGTCTTCATCTATTCGTTGATAGATTAGACAGAGAGTCTTCTTGTCTCTCTTCCTTAAGCCTCTCAAACTATGCTTTTGAGTTTGAGATGAAGCACCTTAATTCTTCAGGTCGACAAGGCCTTTCTCGACTGACTCCCACACGTCGTTTGTGCCAAGGAGTGTCACCATTTTTAGATTCCAATTGTTATAGTTGCTCTTTACGAGCATGAGGACTTGGAAAGGAACACCGCTATTCGCCAGTTTTAGGAGGATCTTCAAGCTCTGATGCCATTCGGTTGGAAGGAAGTTTTGGATAGGTGGAGAAAATGTGTAAGTATTTGGGAGTGGATAGGAAACTTTTGGGAAAGGAAATGTTACTTGTATTATTGAGTGTTTATAATTTTGACTACATCACCTCTATTTATACTAGTGACATTCCTAAATCAACGACTAGGATTTTGCCACCACAAATTTAATCTAATGACTATAAATCACTATCTAGAATTTTCTCCACTATTCTACAAAAATCTGTATTTATTCTTATCTTCTAGAGAGCTCCATGGATCTCTCTAGAATAGCCTTCTAGAAATTGGACCTACTACAACACAAATTTGGGCTTAAAATTACTAAGGTCCAAAAATTAACAAACCCAAAATCAATGTAAATATTCAACGCATTTTACCTCACTTCATGGTCATTAGAAAGAAATCAAGTGAATATCCATGGTTGTCAAGATCTCGATCTAGATCTTAAAATCGTAAGATTTTACATTCTTAATAACCCAAACAATTGTGATCTTAAGTAGAATTTTGTGTTATATCCATGGTTGTCAAGATCTCGATCTCGATCTTAAAATCGTAAGATTTTACATTCTTAACCACCCAAACGATTGTGATCTTAAGTAGAATCTTGTGTTATAGTCAAATTGTGAAAAAGTCGTAAAACATTGATTTTGTTTGATCTTTGCCAATTTCGGCAATGATTGACCGTTTTCCGGACACCACCATTAAAAGGTGAGAAGGATGACAAGATGCAGAGGCGCGAGAGTTACAAATACCTACAGTCGTCTACCTTTTGAAATGAAGCTTTAGATTTAGGGTTTAGAAAATAAACATCATATCTTCTAATTGACTTATAATAATCCTAATAATTGATCAAATATGTCCCTAATGTCTAACAAATGTTCCATGTGATAGTAATAAATTATAAAAACTCTATCATACATATCTAAAGAATATGAAAAAAGTCATTTTCTCACAAATACACTTGCCTATTAACATATATCATGTAAAAATACTTTAAATGTATACCATTATTTTTTCATTGTAGTAGGGTCTTACGATTTTTATTGCAATCTTATGTTTTACAATTTTGTTAACCCTCTCAATCTTGCAAAAATAATTAGGCAGTATCTTCCGATCTTAACTATGATTTTGTATTTTACGATCTTACTATTCTTTCTCGAAATGTAAGATCTTGATCTTGACAACCTTGTGAATATCATTCAATAGGCCATTGTTTCTGTAGCAAAACACAACCAGTTCTTGAAGACTATCTTGCAGTACAAGATGTGTTTCCTCACAGACCATAATGATCCCGATTCACTAATCAAAGATCAAATCCTATCAATCATCCTGTTCCTCCCATAAAAAAATTATTCTCCTCGAGTATTCAGAAGGAAAAACAAAGTGAAGTTGGTTCCTTCACATCTTAGTCTGGTTCTACAGTTTTTTAATTGTTTTTTTTTTCTTTCTCCAAATCAAATCAATAATTATAAAAGTTTTATTCTGCTATCCTGTTCTGTGATAATCAACCCATTATTCATTTGGTCTCTAGGCCAACATTTGACTGTCATTCATCCAAGTTCACGTCTCCTCAGTTGCAGTCCCAACATCAGCTGGCAGAATCACTCGCCGAACTTCTTCCTTCCAGCTACTCAGTTTCTGCTCTTAGCCTCGTACTGTCTAAGCCGAGAATTTCAGACACTCATTTCCCAACTTGAGGAGAAGTATTCTGGATTAATATATATTATTTTGTTTAATTTACTGTTATGTTAGTTATTAGTTGATATCAGTGGCAGATACGTTTACTGTTGCTTATTCTGTTTTAGAATTACACTGTATATTTGCATCACAAGTAGTTGAATGAAAACAACACTCTTGAATTGTGTTTTTCCTACAACTTTACACATTTTCTTGGAGTAACAAGTTGTATGTCTGCGTGCAGGAAATCCTCGAAGCTCAAGAGAAATCAAAGCCACACATATGGAATTTCAGGACAAGATATGAAGCTTCACAATACTGGCGAAGAAGATATGGTCATTTAGACAGGCCTGAATGAGGAAAATCCTTGTGTGCAGATGAATGCGTTTTGCATTTTGATTTTATTGGTATTTTAGAGAAAGAGACTTTTAGTGACCAAATAAAGTTTATGTCAAATTGAATGACATTATGGTATCATATTTTTTGACCCCTAAAATATTGATCACATGTGGTTAAGGTAAATGACTATCAAATTGAATGACTAAAGTTTCAAATGTTGATGAATAGTTTTAAAATTTACCATGATAGATAAAATCTTAATTATAAGTTTGTGCAATTCGAACTAGATCAATTCATTAGAGCTGATGTTGGTTTAAATAATTATGACACATCAAACAATGATGAAACAAACAGTACCACTGGATGAAGCATCAGGACAAAAATAAATTTATTTCTTCAGGATAGCAGGAGTATCTTTTAAAAGAATTTGGTTGGTTGCAATACAGATTTTCAATCAATTAACACTTTTTCTCTATATTCAAATGTCATTACAACAAAAAGTATAACCTAAAAGAGTATCTGCCAGTGTAGTTTAGCCAAACAACCTATATCGGGCTTATAACAAAATCACATTTATGAGTTGTCAAACATATAGTTACACTATATAAAATCACATTTATGAGTTGTGTAACTAACTTTTTCATTTGAAAATTATGTAACTAAATAAAATCACATTTATGAGTTGTGTAACTAATTTTTTTCATTTGAAAATTATCAAATCATAGAAATGCAAACATTCTCTCTTTGATTTTTCTTTGTAATATGGTATCCATAGTTTGAAATAATCTTTAACCATGTTTGAAGACGATTCATCTTAAAAAGCATTTAGTATCAACTTAAAGAACATCTTCAAGACATTTGCACAACAAATCGCATTCAAACCACATGAAGATAACTTTCATTGATATACAGTAAATCCAACAATTCTTCTGCAGACGATTGCAAGAGTCAAGTAATTTTTTTTTATGTTTATTGAACCTCTTTCAATTAACATTACACAAGGCACTATATCAGCACCTAATGTTGTGTATCAATCTATTTCAGCTCAATTCAATGGAAAATCGTACTAATCGTGATTGAAGGTGTCGATTTAAAGTTCAATATCATATCTGTTTCAAAAAAAAGGTCATGGTACTAGTGTGTGCTATCACATACACTCATCTATGATGCCTTCAACTAGGAATGCGCCTTATTAGTGGAATGAAGCTCTATCACCTGGCTGGAATTAATGGACAAATAGCCAAAATTAATGGATGCCTAATTCTAATCAGTGGCAAGCTTCATCTACACAAGGACAACATGTTTGTGTTTCTAGACTTATTCTCACCCTTCAGCAAGGTTAACATTAACCTTATCTTACATGCACTTGTATTGATAATCACAACACATCTATTGTTAGGAGTATGGTGTCGCAGCATTATGCTGCACCTTCTGTAGGCTATTATTTTAGTGTAACTAGTTCTGTTTTGATATCCTTTTTTAGGTCAGCATCTAGTGCTGACTCATCTTGTATATATCTGTCTAGTGCTGACTCATCTTGTATATATCTGTATTATATTTTACTACTGGATAATGAGAAGATAAGATAATTTTTCTCTTACTGTTACATTCTGTTTTGCATCTTCAGCTTCACAAAGTGAAGCTTTCATTGTAGCACCTCCATCCACACAAAGTTTGTGTGGATGAAGAGAGTAAAACTCTAACATAGTATCATTCGCATGATCGATCGTCTGTGCTTTCTTGCTCAATCAACTCTGTTCTACCTTTCGCTCAATTTCTTCAGCTCGTGATTCATATCCGTCAAAGTTCGTGGTTCAAGTTCAACTATGGCGTTTGAAGAAAATTAAGAATCAATTGCTAAGGATCTTGCGCAATCTCAAGAACATTTCAACAAGTCCTCGAACAAGCTCTCGATCAAGCTACAGGAAAATAATTACCTTCTTTGGAATCAACAAGTTGAAGGTGTTATTCTCTCTCAAAAAATGCACGAGTCCGTTGTCAATCCTCAGATTCCGCAGAAGTTCAAATCTGATCAAGATCATGTCACATGTATGATTTCTGATTATTATGAATCTTGGATTGTGTAAGATCAAACGTTGTTTATTTGGCTGTTGTTAACAATTTCCGAATCAATTCTACCACGTGTTCTTGTGTGTAAACACTCTTATGAGGTTTGGGACAAGATTTACCAATTCTTCAAAGCTATAGCTAATTCATTGTTGGCTGTTGGTGACTCCATTAATGAACAAGATCAGGTTGATTCAATCCTTCAAGGCCATCCTAAGGAGTATAACTCCTTTGTTATGTAGATGTATGGATGTCCTTCACCACCTACGCTTTGTGATGTTGAAGCTCTCCTTTATGTGCAAGAAGCACAATTGGATAAGTTTCGTGAAGAATTAGCAACTACTACTGTTGCAGCCAATGTGTCACATACAACTCAAGCCAATGTGTCACATACAACTCAAGAAGCTCACTGTAACACCCTTTTCTACCCCACAGTTTTAAAGGAAAAATATTCACATTTATCATCAGAGTAAAATATTAAAATCAATAAAAATCACCTCAAAGGGCGTACGTTTCCCAATAAATCAAATATAGGTCAAGGCTCCGTAAACAACGGGTTTTCCCAAAAGATTTCAAAAATTGCTCAAAAGGTAGCGGAACTCAAAAAGGGTATAATCCAAAGTTTTCCTTGTACGGAAACATAATCAAAATAACAAAAATCAAATAAAATATGGTTTAACTCAAAAAACCCAATCCGATGTTACACTATCAGAGTAAGACACTCTAAGTTAACCAAAATGGCCAACAACTCAAAACTCCAAAAAGATCATCGACGGCATCCATGCCTAATCCTGGTCATCTGCACGTTACCCACGTGGAGGCAACATTCAAACAGGCAGGGTGAGTAAAACGATTCATAATAATTAATATAGGAATTCAATATATAAAATGACGTCATTTTCATATTCAACATCATCATAATCATTAGGGAACATCAAAGATAGTAATATCATAATTTATACCAAATTATCTCATAAATGCAAATGCAACAAGACTCATGCATGTGGTACCAATTATAACACCCCGAATTTAATCGGAATATTTGAATTAATTATTTAATTGAGAATATTCATGTTTCAGTGAATTTTCGGTGGTTTTGTGAATATTGGAAAAATGTGCATTTTTTGGGTATTTATTTGATTAATAGCATATAATATTAATTTATTAGTATTATAATTAATTAAATTGAATATAAGTGGAATAAGGGTAAATTGGGCAATTAAGGGAGTTAGTAAGGGTAATGAGGGAAAAGCCCAATTTGTGAGGCCCAAGACTAGGTTTGACAAAATTGAGTTCTGAAAGAAAATTAGAATTCATTTGTGTTAATTGTGAAAGTTTGGTGGCCAGAGCTCTGAAGGAAAGGTTGGAGGCAGAAAATCCCAAAGTTAAGGTATGTGGAGTATCGCTTTTCATGATTTTCTATGTATGTCTTTCGTGTGTTTATGGTGGGGTTAAGATTTAAGGTATTTTGGGTTGATTTGGGAGGATTAGGGAAATTGATGATAAGACTCTGAGATCATGGCTAGTAGTATGTATCACTGAATATCGATATGAGAAAGGAAACCATAGGCCTTTGTGGCCAAAACCTTTGATGGTTATATGTGTGCCCATAGGGAATATAATAGTTGATATTTGAAATTATGATGCCTCCAGAGCAATTGTTAGGGAAATGGTGATTTAGGACATGAATAGGTTCTGGGATTGGCCCAATAAACCGTAGGTTTCATGTCGTTATCACCGTATGACCTTAGGGATGATTTAAGGATGTTTTGGGGCCATTGGGTAAGTGAATCGTATGAGTATTTGGGTAAAAATTAGTTCTGGTCGTAGCAGATTTTTGCTATCATCGCATTGTTCACCTAGCGAGCATGCCAGCGAAGACTCACCACAGACTCACCTAGCGAGCATGCCAGCGAACGTAGCAGAATTTCGCGAATATTGATCATGTGCAGCGATGCCGTGATGTTTGACTCTGGGATTTCAGTGATGAGTTATCATGAGTATGACAATGGATTTTGGAGGATATGTACATGATGCTATGATGGTTTCTATGATGTGTTGATTGAATTAATATGATGAAATTACCATGATTTGATGAATTATGTGATAGCATGAGCTATGATGATTTATGTGACGATGATGAATATGATGAATGATGATGCACCATATGTTGTTATTATGAAGATTATTATTGTGACGTGTGCATCATGCATTCATGTGCATCCGGACTTCGGTTCAGGACCTCAATTGCTTTGGCTTCAATCCCATTGTGTGGATGTGAAGTGTTTTGACGTGCTCCAGTTCTCTAGTAGAATCGATCCTATTGATGGGGATCTATGGAGGGTTGATGACCCAGTGTCCATTGAGTTGTGATGATTGGTACCACATGCATTGAGTTGCGTCACATTGCATTTATGAGTCTTTTTGTATGAATTGTGATGTTGTGGCCTTCGAGGCATATTTGAGGAATATGAATGTGTTGAATATAATTAATATGCCGTTTATGCATTAATTGTTATACATTGATTATTATGAATTGTTTTACTCACCCTGCCTGTTTGAATGTTACCTCCATGTGGGTAACGTGCAGATGAGCAAGTTTAGCCGTGGACGCCGTCGAGGAGTCATTTTTGAAGTTTTGAGTTATTAGCTGATTTAGTTGCTTAGAGGGTCTTGCTCTGATATGTATATTTGGTTGGATTCTTTGAGTTGATTTTATATCAGTGGGATATTTTGCTTATTTTTCCTTTTGATGAGAAACCTTGATTTATGCTTTGAGTTCCGTTGTTTTATGTTGTTTGATGTACTTTGGGAAAACCCGTAGTTACGGAGTATGGACCTATTTTGTTGACTTTGAGAAATGTACGCCCTTTTTGTGGCTTTTTATTGAGACTTATTTATTTACTCTGAAATCCGTGTTATTTTTCCTTAATAATTTTGGGGTAGAAAAGG